TAAATTATTTTTAAATTATTTGTTGAGGTTGTGAGATGTTGATAATTATTGATATAAGTTGTTAGATTATTATTAATTAACTAATTAGTTGATTAATAATAATAATGTTGGAATTATTAGTATTAGTCGTTGGGCTTATTTTGATGGTATGTAGTATTAAGGGGGTGTGAGAATTAGGCTCAATAGAAATACTATTATTATTAAGTTTGGTTATAATAATAGAAATTAGATGTGACAGTAAGGAAAAATAGGTTTTGTCAAGAAGAAGAGGAATAAGAGTTTGAAGAAAGAAAGAGAACGTAGAAGTTGCAGAGCAAAGAAGAAAAGAGGCAAAGTGGAATTCGATCGGAAAATTGTATAGCAACCTTCAATCTAAGGTAAGAGTGGGGTTCTGACTCAATAATTGGGTATGTGATTAATATTACATAGGAATTGGGTTGTGTAAAATTGTTATTGTATGTGATGGTTGTATGAACAAACTATTGTTTGGTTTATGTGATAATTGTGCTAACGTTGCAGTAATTCAATCGATGAATTGAGTGTTGGAAATTATTATGTATTGATGTGGGTATAGTTATTATGTTGCTGTGAATACATAGTGTTGGCCTGAGATCGTGGAAAGGAAAGGAACTACTGATCGCAGGAAGTCTGAACGAAATTACAGAACAGGAATTATGGACATGTGCCGAGCGACACATGTATGTTGGTGAAGGGTGTTGACCGACACCATGCTCGTGCTGAGGGGAATGGCTCTGCATGTCGAGGGGCATGACCCTTAACCATTAATTCCTTTAATTGTTTTATGTGTCTTTACTATGTGTCTATTACTTTAATATTTTGTTACAGAATTTGGATGTAGCATAGTTAGAAAAGGGTGAATAACAGTAGGGGCTATTTACTAGTAACAATAGTGAAAAATTTATGGATTAATATAAATATAGCAGTTAAGATTAGTATGTTACAGAGTTAGTAACTGTTATGGTTTTAGTTGCAGAGCTTGTAGTAAATAACAGAAACATTAGTAACTAAAATATAGTAGCAGTAGAGATAATTTAAGTAGCAGGTAAATAATAGTTTCATTAATTTAGCCGAAAACCATTAATAAGACTTATCAGCAGAATAATTTAGTAGAAGTATTTTAGTAGGACCGTGTTAATAATATTATTGGCATGTGTAAGTTGTTGTGTTGTTGTTATTAATTGTTGAAGTTGCAGGTAGTGGTGAGTTATGTTGTATTGCATCTATGATTGACAATTATTAAGTTGTGGGCTTATGGCCAATGTTGAATTAAGTTGAATTATTAAGTTGTAGGCTTATGGTCAATGTTGAATTAAGTTGAATTATTAAGTTGTAGGCTTATGACCAATGTTGAATTAAGTTGAATTATCAAGTTGTAGGCCTATGGCCAGTGTTTAATTATTATTAAGTTGTTGTTGAATTGTTGTTAAGTTGTAGTTGAATTGTTGTTGTTGTGTTGTTGTTGAATTATTGTTAAGTTGTAGTTAAATGGTTATTGTTGTGTTGTTGTTAAATGGTTGATGTTGTAGTTGTTGTTGTCGCATGCATAGTATAACAAGTTGGCCTGGATTGGCAAAAAGTTGAATTTGAAGGCTTATGCCTTGTTGATGCCTCTATTAATTGGCAATTTCTAAGTTGGGAGTTCTGCTATATTTCTAAGTTGGAAGTTCTGCTCTGTTTTTAAGTTGGGAGTTCTGCTCCACTGGTACCACATGCATGTGCATAGTAACAAGTTGCATTTCACGTTGCATATTGAGTTGTTGTGTTGGTAAGTTATTTATTATGTTTCATTGATATTTTCATTGTGATTGATGTTGTTTAAAGTTGTGAAGTGGTGATTTGGTTATGAAGTGGTGGGTGATGATGAAGCCACACCAGATGGAGAATTAGTTCATTTTGCTTTCTTGGAGGTGTTGAACTAATTAACTATAGTGAAGCTTTGAAGACTAAATAGTGGAAGTTAGCTATGGTTGAAGAGTTACAGGCAATCGAAAGAAATAACACATGTGAGTTAGTCGAATTGCCAACACATACAAAAGTTATTGAAGTAAAGTGGGTATTCAAGTTAAAACATAATGTTGATGGCTCGATAATAAGACATAAAGCAAGATTAGTAGCTCAAGGGTTTTTTCAAAGAGAAGGGCTCGACTACTCTGAAGTATTTGCTCGAGTAGCAAGATTGGAGACTGTTTGACTAGTGGTAGCATTGGCATGCAATCAAGGCTGGTCGACATTTTATTTAGATGTGAAATCAACATTTCTAAATGGTCCTTTAGACGAAGAGGTCTATATGATACAACCTTCAGGGTTTGTGATTCAGAAGGAAGCGAGTAAAGTATATAATTTGTATAAAACGCTCTATGGCCTCAAGCAGACACCTAGGACATGGAATAAGAAGACCGGCTCATACTTAGTCGAATTGGGATTTGTCAAATGCAAATCCGAGTATGATTTATATGTTCAGGTTATAGCACAAGATATAACAATCATCTACTTATATGTCGATGACTTGCTAGTAATTGGATATAGCTTGGAGAATTTATCGAAGTTTAAAGAGCTGATGATGAAGGAATTTGAAATATCTGATATGGGAAAATTATCTTATTTTTTAGGTATGAAATTTCAAACGTCAAAGTAAGATATAGTGCTACATCAAAGGAAGTATGTTAAAGAAATACTCAAGAGATTCAGAATAGATGATTCGAATCCTGCATCCTCACCCGTCGAACCAAATGTAAAATTGGAGAAGAATGTAGAGGAAGACAAAGTCAATGTAACTTTGTTCAAAAAAATTATAGGATCTTTGAGGTATGTGTGCAACAGTCGACCTGATATAGGTTTCGTTGTAGGATTAGTAAGCAAATATATGAGTGAACCAAAAGTTTCACATATGAAGGTTGCAAGAAGAATCCTGTGATATTTGAATGGTTCGATAAATTGTGGAATACTATTTCGACAAGATTCTGAAGACAAAGAAGTAATAGTTAATTGTTTTTCAGATGTTGATTGGTGTGGAGATAAGGAAGATCGAAGAAGCACAACTGGATATTTCTTTCAAGTATTTGGTGCCTCAATCTCATGGTGTTCGAAGAAACAACATGTGATGGCATTATCATCTTGTGAAGCTGAATATATAGCAGGATCTTATGTTGCATGTCAAACAATTTGGATCAGATCAGTACTTGAAGAAATGAATGTCGAAGTGAAAAAACCTCTTGTATTGTAAATCGACAACAAGGCAGCCATAAATATGGCGAAGAATCCAATTCTGCATGGAAGAAGTAAATATATTGAAACAAGGTTTCACTTCTTAAGGGAAAAGGTAAATCGAGGTGAACTTGAAGTAAGACATTACTCGAGTGAAGTACAGTTGACCGACATTTTCATCAAAAGATTGAAGATTGATAAATACTGAATTTGAGAAAGAAATTAGGAATTGTTCAGATTGATTATTTTTTAGGATATTCGACAACTTGGATTATGAATGTGTGTTGAAATATAAAATTAGATTAGATTTAATATTTAAATATAATCTAAATTGTGTAGACCCAAACTCAATTAGGATTGCATATAAATAGTACTAATCTTATCATTATTTGTACAATTCAATAATATAAATCATTATTTTTTTTATTATTCTCTTTCTCTCCTCACTAAAGTGTCTCACGCACTAACACGGTTTTGTGTTTTTCTTCCGTTCTACAATCCTCAAGTCAAAGAAAAATATTAAAATTTCTAAACCAAAAAAATCATAATTTGCCAATCAAAACACCCACAAAACCCTTATTACTAAATTTAATATATTGTGGTTTGATTTGGTCACTTGATTGACATAAAAATACGTTGTCAGTGTTGTTATACGAAAATGTGATTAATTTTTGAGTTTTCACATTTTTTATTTAATTATTTTTTCACTATTTCATCTTTTGTAACATTCTTTTTAATCAATTCAAACCTTGATTTTAAACAAATTTAAGGTTGTTTTCATCCCCAATTCTTCAGTCAAAATAAAACTGAACGTTTGATGGAGAAGGAAAAATGCAATTGGAGACATGAGGAATGATTACTGCAAAAGGATAGTTGTAGTGGTTTGCAACTTGCAAATTGTCTCCGATATGATAGAATTGAGAGAACCAGATCAATATTTGTTCACGATCTTTTCCCAGCAATATAGAGGAATTAATTAAAAGGGCATGGATGAGTGATTTACTGTGATATTGTCTAAAGATAACACGGTGAGGGATTTATTAGAGCCCTCATGTTAGATACCTAATTTTAAATCAAACAAGTTTAATATTATTCTTTAAAAAAAATATCTAAACCGCAGTCGAACACATAACTAGGAATATATTCCTAGAGGTGATGATACTAGGAAAATGAATAATCATAAACCTCAAAACAAACACATGGTAATGCATATTTTTCTCAACCTAAGATCTCCATCAAATTTTAGGCAAAATTGTACAGGAAAGTGCAATCCATGAAGTGAATATAGAGATCTAAGTTATGATTATAATTCTAACCTAATATATATTTTTCTCAACCTAAAATCTCCATCAAATTTTCGGCAAAGATGTACAGGAAAGTGCAGTGAAGTGAGAATAGAGATCTAAGTGATGATTATAATTCTAACTGTTTGGAAAGTAACTTTTTCTACCGCAAAGTGAAAGTGCAAACAAACATGCACAAGCGGGAAGGAAGTTTCTCATCCATCAAGTTTGTCTTGAACATCATCAATAAAAAACTTGAAAGTCACTGACTGGGGAAGTATTACTAGAAGGCCATGCAGGAAGCAAAAGCATGGCATTGCTAGCATCAAAGCCTATACATAATTCACCACACCCCTGTACCAAGCCCAGCATGTCCTACAAATACAGTGCTTCACCAAGCTGGCAAATAAAATAATTTGTCAAATAACTTTACAAAATAAGGCAAGCCCTACCAAACATCTAATCACATAACCTTAACCTAGACACACATAATCAGTTAGACCCCTCAGCTTTGGGGACCGACGCCGACGTATTGTCCTCAGGAGCTGATGCCCTCTTCGGGAAAACTGATCCAAGCTGAATTCCTGCACTATTACTACCCTCATGATCAGGAGCTGATGCCTTCTTCTGGAAAACTGACCCAAGCTGAATTCCTGCACTAGTACTACTACCCTCATGATCATGAGAACTTCCTTGGCTTTCAGCTTTCAGTGCTTTCTTCTTTTTTACCTTCTCTGCCCAACCAACAAGGCCCACTTGCACATGCTCATTAAATATTGCCCTCTTATAGTGAGTTCCCATCTACAATGTGAAAACAGTGAAATTCAGCACAAAAAGATAATCTAAATTCAGAAAATTAACCTGCGAGTAAGTTTGAACAGCTTTGCAAGGATACCTGTGTAACAACTGCATAGAGTGGTAAGGTGCTGTAGCTACACAGTACCTGAATAAATACCCTGTAACCCCAACATAGAGGGGCAAAAAAGATGAGGAAAAACAAAACATGTCGAACCTGAGACTTCAGGGAACAAACAAATTGCATAAGTCATAAACACACAAAAGAAAAGAGAAGTCATGCAATTACCCAATCACAAGCCTTGGAACAATGTAACGAACTTGTCCCATTATACAGGAGTCAAATCCATATGTAACCTGAGAATACATGCTAATAGATTATTACATTGAATATAACTAATTCAAAATTTCTCTCAACCTACAGTACGCCCTTACTAAAAAATGAAAAGAAAAATGGTTGGCAGAGAGCATATAAGTTATGCTTCCAAAGAAATTGCTTACCCATATCCAGAAAAAAAATGCTATCTCAAAAGCATTCTGGAAAAGGATAAAGTGAATCAAGAAGAGAACGATGTGGGGCCGATGAAACCAAAAGTGACCATCTGATGGTTTTACAACCAAGTCACCTTCTATGGCTGCATGTTTTTCAGCTACTTCATGAGCTAGTTGGGTTATTACATGCTCCAGCTTCGTTCCCACTGAAAGTAAAAGCTGAAAGAATGTAAATGAAACTGTGAAACAAATAAAGAGATACAAGATGCAGGGAAAAGAAAGAAAGAAAGAAAGGATATTATGAATATAAGGCCAGTTAACACATCAATTTACATGAAAAAATTATACATGTATAAAAACATTCCTGAGCAAACAAGGTTAACAAGAAATCATAACTGATAGAAACGGAAACACTAACAGAAGTATATGACTCATGTATAACCAAGAGTAAAAATAATAATTGGAAAATCCATAGAGAAAAATAATTGGAAGCTGAGCAAACTAAATGTGTGGCCATGAAAATGAACAATAAAAAGGCAAAAGTTTTATTAAGGTGCTTACAATAACTGGAATGAAAGCAATCCAGAAATATGTATGCCAACCTGAAAGAGTAAAGCAGACATATAATTGTGAGATTCAAAGTAATGTTCTTAGATAACAAACAAAACCAAAAGAAGTTTACTAATTCCGTAAGTCCTCGTACACAAGTAAATTGGTTAGGGTCCATCTTTGAATGCAAGAACACATGGTATCCTAGCACATGGTATACAAGTACCAACAACAGCCATTTCAGATCAGATAATGATATAAGGAGAAACATAAAATAGGTTTTTGATTCCAGTCGTGTCACTTTACAGAAGAGTCACGCCACCCATGCACGAGCCAACTAAATGGTGACATGAAAAATGATATAGAAAAGAATGATGACAAGCAATTAGCATGAAGCATAAATGTATGTCACAACACATACCATTGATATTTAACAACAAGAAGATGACCACAAAGAGCCAAAGATACCAACTGCAACCATGAAAATATAATTAGAATTGCTATTACAAAAATCAATAACTTTATGCAATTAGAAGAACAAAAATACAGTTTTCTTGGCACCTAAACTGATGAATATGTGTAATTATGGTATGCATAGAAACAACTACTTTTGACAAAGTTATTCTAAGGAAGCCTTTACCTTATGCCAACAACTATCTTGAAATCATCTTCAAGGGCACGGATCATGTACTTGTGAAAATCAAACTTTGGGTTTGTCTTGCAGTGAGTCTACAGCAAAGAAACATACCAAAGGACATTATTATGATTCATTTATTGGAGCCACCGAATAACAGCCAACTGAGAGATTATTTGACATCAGATATTGTATATAAAAAGCTTACCATAATGAACCCGAGTCTTAGTGTCACATAGTCTGATTTTGTCACAGAACCATAAAACTGCTTGAAAAAGGATTGCTGAAAGAAGTTTAATAGATTAGTAAAAATAAAAAATTAAAGAAAAACATGGAACAGACACTCACTTAGATTAGATTCTCTAAACAGTCAGCATCTCTTGTAATATCATCCAAAGAGCACAACAATCCCATTACAAGAGACAGGAAGACATAAATATACATAAACAAGACTAAACACTAACAATCAGCAGGAATAGCAAGGAAACATAGCATTTGTAAAGGCAGTGGACATAGACATCTAGACTTTGTTTAGGAGTTTGGAAGAGAACGGAGGGGAGGCTTTTGAAAAAAAGGAAGGATGAAGTTGAATAGATGGAGGGGTTTGACAGGGGATGGTTTATTTTACTACGCAACAAAATCTTCTTAATTTGGAGGAACTCAAAAATTGTATTGGAGGAGGGTTTTGGAAAGGCTTGAATAAATTCTTCAAATCCAATTTATGTTGGGATAATAATCTAAATATTAAAAATATATTAATAATAGGTATTCATTTATCATTGTAGACGTAGACTTTTCCAAAAGAAATTAAAGATTTATCTATTTTTCTCTCTACTTAAATCTCTTCCGAATGCTCTCCCCTCACTTCCCCTCATAACTTCCAAACCGAGCTTTAAAGATGAGGTCAATACATCTTCAAATGAAGAGAGGGCAGAGGAAACATGGCATTTGTAAAGGTAACATACATATAAATCTAAAGATAGCATGTTCAACCAAAATTCTAAAGCATGAAAAACTAGTAATAACAAACTTACCACCCAACCAATTAAGGCAGAGTCTTTACCGACACCGGAAAAACGACCTTTGATAAACTCGTGATTTTGAACCTGAGTAAACTTTGGTTTGAAAACTGCAGCACAAATTACAAGACTATAGAGTGTGAAAAGCAAGTTAAAGAATAAGCAAAAAGAATGAAGAAGTGGATACCTTTACTAGTATCATAATTCTCCTTCCGAATAGAATCTTCCCAGCGCTTCCACTGACGAATCTATACACCAACAACAGATCTATATAATAAGCAGTAAAGAATAAGGAATAATTAATAGAGAATATGAAAAGAAAAGAAAAAAAAGGAACACTAACTCTGGCGCCTCCGAAAACAACGGTGAGAACTGAAAAAGTAACATGAACAACGGCGAGAACAAAAATGAAGATGTGTAGATGATGCAAGGCTTCAAGAGATAATAAAGGAGCCTTGTCCTGAAAAAAGAAGAAAAAAAACGAAATTGAAGATCGAAATGATGGATTGATAGTGAGTATTAGTGTAGATGAAAAGAAACCTTGGTAGAGCAGAAAGAGGTTTTGGAATGAGCATTTTGTGGTGGTTCAGCGAGAAGGCGTCTTGCGAGACCGGGAAAAGAGAAAGCGGAATGTGACTTGGGGAGTTGAGATTCCGCGTCGTCCTTCTCCTGGAGAGTACAGGGAAGCATGTGACGCAATACGGCAGGAGGAACACATATTTTGGTGAGTCCGTTTTGTGAAACGGTGAGAAGAAGAGAAATGAAACCGAGAAGCATCAACTCTGCAAGTATTGAAAGAAATTTGAAGTAAGAAAGAAAAGTAAGTTAGTAGGTAGTTAGTTAGTTAGTTAGTTACCTTCTTTGATTTTCTGGAGAGCTTCGTAAAGTGGCTTCTGATCTTTGCGTTTGAGATATTTTCCACCATAGTGAAGAAGGCGCTCAGCAGCGAGGGAAATGGCCACGATTATAGTACAAACGCCAGCGACAACCCACGTCGGAGTGAACTCAAGTGTTGTCTCTTCTTCTCCTTCACCACCGCCACTCATTTTTTTCTTTCACAACCTTTCTTCCTACTCTTTTTTTCTTTCTAAATCTCACAACCTTTCTTCCTACTCTTTTTTTCTTTACTTTCAACTTAGAGAGAGAGAGAGGGAACTTAAACGTGGTAACCATTATTTTCTTTTCTTTTCCATTTTTTCTTCTTTTTCTTATGTGGTCCCACATATCAATGTCATAAAGTAAATGTACAGTGACTGACGGGTCTCCCCACCTCCTTTTTTTCTATAACACTTGTGTTCAATTTGAACCGTGACTAATACGGCTACAAACTCAGCCATATAAATGTCTAATTAATGTAACACTCGTAACCAATACTATCTATTTAACACTTGTGTTAAAATTCATACATCTATTATAAATATATAAACGTAAAAATATCTCCTAATGATATTATAAGAGCATCATTATGAGTGTTTTTTTTAGAGTTCATATACATTTATTAAAGAAATTGTGTCAATAATAAATGAATATTTCACTTGTTTTCACGTTCCTGAACTAAAGCACGTCCTCATACTAAAGCACGCTTCTACACTCCAATTAAGTGAATCATGATAATAAATTAATAAATAAAATTACAAGAATGTAGTTGATTTGTTTTAAATGTGGGATCTATTTTAAATTTTTTGATGAGTTACATGGATATTTGAGAAGTGTGAAATAATATAAAAAATTATGTGGGTCTCATTTAAAGAACCCAAATGAGTATGATGGATGTGGATGCTCTAAGTTTTTTTGATTAAAAGTTTAATTTTGACTAATTATAATTATCAAATACTAATTTTTTTATATTGATTTGATATTTAATATTGTTGATGTGACACACCTATATTTTTTGTTGGTATTTTATAAATAAAAAAATTCATGAGACAATTACAAAATCCTAATTACTTAATGTTTGAGAATGAAACGAAGAATCGAGTTAACATCGTTACATAACACTTGCGGTTTCAATACAAAACAATTGATTTGCAGTCATAAACTACACAACTTCCAACATGGAGAAATACATACCCTTTCAACTCTTCGTAATTTTAATCCAACCATAAATATAAGATTTTGTATATCTTCAAACTCTAAGCAATTATTTCTCCAATCTTCAATTTGACAGTGTTTTAGTTGCCGTTTATTATTCCGTCCATGTTTGCTTTGCGTTTCATTTCTCCCTCTGAATCTTTCATTTTGGTTTTTTTGTTATAGCTTCTAAATCAATCTATGGCTCGCCCTATTGAAATTGTCAAGAAAATTAATGAGTCAGAGGATTAACGGAAGTTGAGCAAGAAGAAGAAGAAGGCAGTGATTGTTGATGTTGTTGTTAACTTGATACATATATTTCATCTAATCAACGTTGTTTTCATGTTTCAATAACAGGATGATACAATTGTTGTTGATTATTGTTGTACCCCAATTTTTGACCTAAGATTCCATTTTATAGTCGGTTTTAACCTCTCACCTTCGAGCATTGGCTATGCAGAAATTGTCAAGTATTTTAAACATTCTTAGCCTATGTATCATTAACTTCTACTCCAGCATGTGTATTTCTCGTTTCTTTGTTTTCATTTGCAGGAAACAGATCTGAATCAAGAGCATCAGGCGTCACGCCTCAATTAGGGTTCAGAATCTCTCAAGCCAGAAGTACAGTTAATCATTGGTCCGTGAAGACTGATTCATCGGAGAACGTTGAGTTCGGCAGAATCGTGGTGATCTTGGGTTGATTGAAACACATGAAATCAAATCGGGTATGTTATTCATCCTCGACGGAGTTTGCGCGAAGAAGAAGAAGTGAAACAAGGACTTGAGCGGCTACACCTTTCCCAACACCTGCTAGGGTTTTCCATTTTATGGGCTTGACCCGAGCCCGATCCGGTCCACACCTAATGCCTCATTTATCTTTTTTTGTTGTCTTGATAGTTTTAATATTGGGCTTCAACTTTTGGCCCATCTGATTTCACATGTTATACCTCTCTTTTTCCACTTTGTTCTTACCCAACTTATCTAATTTCTATGTTTTTATCTCTTTGTTTTAGCTGTTTATTTTTATATTTAATTTTATTAATCATATTTAGTTTAATTAATCAATCAAATAATTAATTACCTCAATATTTAAATAATCATGTTTTTCCCTTTATTACATAAATTTTACAAATTAGTTTAGTTTTGAAATATAGCTTAGTAATCTTTGTGATTTTAACCTTGTTCTAGTTAATCATTTTAGCTTAAATTATTTATATTTTCATATATGATTTTGCTTTCTCTCTCTAATTTAGTTTCTTTGTCTATTGACCGTTAATTGTTTGTTTGGATTTCTATTTTTCTCATAATATTTCTTTGGTTAAGTAACTTTCCTTTTGATATTCATCTTATTATGCTGCCTTAAAATTCCAAGGGAAATGTTTTTAACTTTGTTGACTTCATGTCATTAAATATATTTGTTACAATCGTGCGAATACCCTCATCCATTTTTTTGCTTATTTGCTATTTTCCAAACTTAAGATAATTCTCCCAAAAGACTCCATTTTTTAAAACTCACCCCCTTTTAAGTTAAAACTTCGATACTAGGTCGTCGTATCTTCAAAATATCGCCAACACCTATTTTTAGCCAAACGAACCATTTTAATCAAACAAACAATTTTAACCAAAAACAGATATTTCAAAAGGTTCCTGTGGAGTACCGCAGATGCATTGGGTGTTAATACCTTCCCATTGTATAACCAACCCCCGAACTCTCGATCTCTTTCAAAAACGCATTGTATTTTTATTACTTTTAAGTATTATTTTACATTGCATATTTTAGGGTTTTATTTCGCTCTTTTCCCTTTTCCCTTGGAAATAATAAAGTGTGGTGGCGACTCTTGCTTTTGTGAGTCAAGTTAATTAATAGCTTGATCTCTGATTTTCACCGCTACAGAATTGGCGACTCTGCTGGGGAAAGATTGACCTCTTGCTGGTCCATCCCTAAGTGGGTTAAGCCTAATTTGTTTTATCTGTTTTATCATTATTTGATTGTTTGATTATATGTATATATTATGATTATTTGGGTGTTGATAATATTTACAAAGGACAAGTCCTATACCCGGACTAAGTTACACTTAGGAATAGGACGGGCGGTATAGTCATGTTAACTTTGAGGGAGTAATCCCGAAGAAGGAGGCATGAGATCCTCCACTCAGTGGAAGGCCCTTTTGAACGTAATATTTGTTTACCGAGTAATCGGGAAGACATTATTATTTTCGACCTGGGAGCCAGAGAAGCTGGGAACCGTAGAACCCTAACCCATCTTGGCCTTTTAGGTGTAGCGCGAAGATTATAACAGAGTAATCCGGAAGTAATTGTTACGCGATGCTACGCTCGGATGAGTTTCTCTTGAGAATATTGCTGATTATTGAGTAATCAAGACGTTGGTAATATCCGAAGGAGGAATGTAGACTCCGGGAACTTTTAGAACCTTGTTCTACAGGTGTGATTAAACCGTTAGTACATACCTTGGGGATGTTCTTTACCCTTGACTCCATGCTCGTGACGTTGAACCTTTCGACTTTATTCGTGACCTTGCTTGTGGTTGTTGCATAGCCATGCATTCGTGCATCCATAAAACCCTTTTCACTTGACTTTGAAGGAATTTGGAGGTCTTTCTTTGTAAACATCACAAGTTTCGTCAAGCTCAATGGATCTTGGGTGTTGATAGGGCAAAAACCCTAATCCACCAAAATGGATGATTGATCTTGATGATAACTTGATCAATGTTTGGAGCCAATTTAAAATTCATCTTCTATCTTCATACTTTGATGTTTACAACTTACTATCTTGAGTTCCTTGAAAATCAAATAAAAACTCTCTTTTGCATATCATACATCATTCTACATTTTTTTTGTTTCACTTTCAAAGGTCTTTTTCCGAGTCTTATTTTTCCTTTGGTCTCACCAGTACAACACTCGCGCTAAGAGGACAATGGAGAATATCAAGCAAGAGGTTTCTGAACTCCGTAGAGAGATGACTATTTTGAAAGCTAGTATGGAGCACTTAACTGGTTTGGTTGAAATTCTGGTTGCCGCCCAAGTCAATCCTTCTAGGAGGGACGAAGCGATGATAAAAGTCTTCACTGAAACTCTAAAATCATTCTCTCATGAGAAGGTGTTGGTTAATGCACCTAATGACTTTCCTGACAAGGTGAATATGGGAGTGCGTCTAAAAGAAGATGTTGGGAATGGATGTTCATATGAAGATGGTAGCTCAACTAATGGTGTGAAGAAGTTTGATAATAACTTTTCCAAGAAGAGAACCAGAGGAAGAAATAATCATTGTCAGAATCATCATGTTTCTCCTATTCATCAACAGAATCAGCAAGTTCCTAATCAAAGGAAAACCCAGTTCGATCCAATTCCAATTACCCATACAGATTTGTTCCCTATCTTGATGCAGAGGAATTTGGTTCAGACCCGACCTCCACCGAAGGTTCCTGAGAAGATACATCGGTACTACAAAGCTGATTTGACTTATACCTTTCATCAAGGTGCTCCTGGGCATGACTTGGAGGGTTGCTTTGCTTTGAAGATCGAGGTTCAGAAGTTGGTCGGAAGTGGTATCTTGTCATTCAAGGACGTTGGTTTTGAAGTTCAAATCAAGAACGTGCCGAAGAGTAAACACGATTGATGGCCACTTTGAGTTTTGAAGGATGTTTTCGGTGATTCAAGTCCAGATGGAAAGCCTTCCCAGATCATTAACTTATTTATGCTTTTTGTAATTTTTCTTGTTTATCAAAACATTGTTTGCATGTAAGAACTTGTTTACATCTGAATGATTATCTTAATACAATGAGTATGTTTGTCTTGAAGAAATTCATTCGTTTCACTCATGTTTGTTTTCAAATTTTAAATTGCTTTTGCACTATGATACCAAATTGTTGCTCATTCTCTTGCCTAGGCAGAGATTGAAGGGAGGATGATGATCTAAAGAACACAAAATCTCTGGTTGTTTGCTTTTGGATAAAATC